CAAAAAAAAAATTTAAAGATTAATAAATCAGTGATCCGACAGTTACTTAAATCAAGATATAAGCAAATCCCCTCAATTTAATTAACCCACTTGCCTAACCTAGTAGCTAATCACAACAGACATTCTGTCATTACCCAATAGAAAATAAATAAATCCAATTTTTTTAGAAGAAATAGCTTTTACGTTAATGAATCTTACCTCAGGGATCAACGAGATTAGTAGCTTGACGACGTTATCCACAGCACCTAAGAAAAATGAAGAAGAGATTTTTAAAGATAGAAAGGGGGAAGAAATTGTAGAGATCAGAAATGAAAGGAACTGGAATTGGAAATTTTGTACCTTGACGGCGAGATTAGTAGCTTGACGATGACGAACAAGACTGGAATGGCAATGAGAGTAGCATGACGACGAGATTAGTAGCTCGAAGATGAGATCGGAGAGATTGGAGAGAATGGCAAACCCTAGAAAATGGAGACTAGCTCGACGACGAAACCAACGGCGACGAGATCAGAGAGATCGGAGAGGAGCTTGGGGATGAGATCCGATCCGAAAACAGCAACGAGATCTTCGCTACGGTGATTTTAGGGATCAAAAATTTTTGGAGATGATTGTAGGGATTTTAGGGATTTCATTTGAGAGAGAGAGAGAGAGAGAGAGAGAGAGAGAGAGAGAGAGAGAGAGAGAGATTTGGTTGCAGTCAGACCGGGCTTTACAAACTCAACTCCTAAACCCACTAACAAATATTAAGCCCATGAACAATTATTTGACCTATGGCAACATTTTTCATTAAATGTTGTATTAGTTACTGTAAACCGATACGATAGATATCTAACGCAACAGTTAGAACCGTTGCGTCTTAACCGCCGCAATAGATCAATTATGTGGTAGTGAGGGCTTTCAACTTATGGTCAAAACTCAATTCAATTGCGACATCAAGTATGTACAAACTGATTTGGGAGGGGAATATCGACAGTCATCTTCATTTTTTCAAAGTTGTGGGGTTGAGCATTGTGTTTCTTGTCCCTACACTCTGGAGCAAAATGGAGCTCCATAACAACGTCGCAAATACATTACTGGTAAAGGCTTGGCAATATTGGCTCATGCATCTCTTCCAATACAATTTTGGAATTACATTCTCTCAACTGCAGTCAATCTCATGAACCGCACAATCACTTCCCTTCTCAAAAATAAGTCCCCTTAGCAGGTTCTTTATTCTAAGGTTCTTGACTATCGATTTCTTAAGGCCTTTGGTTGTCTATGCTATCCCTTTCTACGATCTTACAATAAAAATAAACTTGATTTTCGCTCAAAGGCTTGTGCTTTTATGGGTTATAGCACAAAACATGAAGGATATTTGTGTTTGCATCCATCTTCAAAACACATATACATTGCTAGACATGTTATTTTTGATGAGGAACAGTTTTCCTATATGGCTTTTATTCAATCTCCTGCGGTAAGTCCCACCTTAACTCCACTGGCGTCTCCCTCCAATTGCTCCAACTGCTCCAAGATGCTTTGAACCTAGTGTACTAGTAGAAAACAGAGCATTGGCGATGGGGTATTAGCGACAGATTTAGAATCCGTCGCCAATACAACCATTGGCGACGGAATATTACCCGTCGCCAATAACCCGTCACCAATACAAACATTGGCGACGGGTAATGACCGTCACCAATATTTTCTCGTCGCTAATAACTATTGGTGACGGAAAAACATTGGTGACGGTCATTACCCGTCGCCAATGTTTGTATTGGTGATGGGTTATTGGCGTAGCCAATGTTTTCTGTCGCCAATACTTATTGGCGACGAACCACGACCGTCACCAATGTTCTCCCATCGCCAATAAGTATTGGCGACAGAATCTGTACGTCACTAATGTTCGTATTGGCGACGGGTTATTGGCGTTGTCAATGTTTGTATTAGTGACGGGTTATTACCCGTCGCCAATACTTATTACCCGTCGCCAATGTTTGTATTGGTGACGGGTTATTGGCGTCGCTAATGTTTTCTGTCGCCAATACTTATTGGCGACGAACCGCGTCCGTCACCAATGTTTTCCGTCGTTATTGTTTATGTTGTCACGAACCTCTAATTCTTAATAGTATTAAAGTCATTGCTCCTCATTCTTATTTTAAATCCCAGGCAATTCATAACTTTTTGTACTTATAAGATGATTATGATTTAGAAACTAGTCTCATATCTACGTATACGTTGGAGAAAAAAGAAGTTTTTAATGAATTTAGGTTTTCACGTTTTAACGGATCAAAACTATGTCCAAATTAAACGAGTTGAATTTTTATAATCTAAAGTCAAGGTAAACTGGTAAAAAAAGTTAGATTTAAAGAAATATTTTTATAAATCTAACTGGCGTTAACCAGGGGACCTAATAGTATATATTGTGATGATTTGAGGGATGTAATACAAATTTCCACGACTTGAGTAGTGAGTAATTTTGAAATATTGAAGATTTGAGGGACCGATTTGGAAATATTGAAGATTTGAGTGTTACTATTAAAATAATCCAATGATTCACTCTTAACTTAAGGATCTAAGAGGAAAATTGGTAATATTAGTTAGATTTGAGGGTTGCAATAGTGTTATGGGGATATTCCCTGTTCTCTACACGTACGTCATCCCAAAAACAGTTGTTCCTTCCAGTCGAGTCGATAGCCTTCCTTAAAGACAACTCGAAGAACGGACTCAGCTGATCCTATCCATATCGAAGGATCACCAACTCAGCCCTGGTCAGCTGCGAGTCCCCCATGCTACTGAAGTGACCATTCCTTGCCCGTCAACTCAGCCCTGGTTGGCTACGAGTTCCCCATGCCACTGAAGTGACCATTACTCACCCACCAACTCAGCCCTGGTCGACTGCGAGTTCCCCATGCCACTAAAGTGATTATTCTTCGCCCACCAACTCAGCCTTGTTCAACTGCGAGTTCCCCATGCCACGGAAACGATGGCTCGACAATCGCAAGCTGACACGTTCATAACAAAGAATGGATCAACCTCCAGTTCACTCAGCCGTCACGTACCACACACTCCCTAAAGTGACGAATCTGCCTTTAGCTTCCTTTATAAATACAGGTATTATTTGTCCTAGGAGGAGGTTCGGTTTTTTGGCTTAAACATCTAAAGCTCTCATGATAATGCAGAAAAAACTATTCTAAATACGCATAAAAGAGTAAATTCACTGACTTGATCGTCGGAGGTACCACGGGGGAAACAAATTAACCCCGCCCTCTTACCGTTCGCATGTGTGTAGGTTATTCGTCCGTCCAGAGCTCTAAGAACTAGGCATAAAGTCGAAGCGAGAAGCGGCCCCGTATTTTGACGATTCATCCTCCCTCGACAGACAACCTCCCCCTATTGGCTGTGTGATTTTAGACATCAACAAATAGTAAGTTATATGTGATTTCGGGGACTAAATTGAAAATATTAAATCTTTTATACTATCACTTTAATAATTTAATTAATTGGTTACCACTAATAATTGTGTATACTTATTTTATAAATTATTTTATTTTATTATTTTTAAATAATTAATAGTTATAATATTATTGATAATCATAATTGTTTAGGAAGGTGAGAAGTAATTAAAGGTTATATATTGTGATCATTTGAGGGATGTAATATAAATTTCCAAGTCTTGAGTGAGTAATTTTGAAATATTGAAGATTTGATAGACCGATTTGGAAATATTGAAGATTTGAGGGTTAATATTGAAATAATCCAATGATTCACTCTTAACTTAAGGATCGAAGAGGAAAATTGATAATATTTGCCAGATTTGAGGGTTGCAATAGTAAGTTATATGACATTTTGGGGACCAAAATGATATTATTAAATCTTACAAGGGGTAAAACAAAATGTATCAACTATAAAACCCAACCATGTTCTCCAGCCCCCCTCTCTCGCGATCTCCTCCTTCTCCAAACCCTACCAGCATCATGACTTATTAATGCTTCGGCATGCTGCAAGCTTATTGTGCCAGCTAAAAACATTAGCCTTGAGTCCTTGACCTGATTGGTTCTTTCTGATGTAAATCTAAAAAACTTGCTAAACGTTTAGCTTTGGTCTTCTAATGCCTAGCAACATTATTTTCCAGTTTGGTTGGTTCACTATTGCAGTTTGTTTTGTTCCCCCACATACTTAAAGGACTTTCTGCTTATTAGGTTTCCTTACAAACTTATTGACTTTTTGTGTGATATCAGTTGTAACTCATTCCATGCTCTACTCTTTAGGATTTATATATTTTTATAAAAAAATTAGTAGTGTGATATATAACACAATAATGTGTTATATATTAATTTTAGGTGAATAACAAGTTAACGTTAGCCGTAGATCCCCGTCCAATAATTACTACCAATTATTTAGACTTATAATATAAATGGACGATTCCACTTTGGGTATAAAATTTTATTTTATGCCGAAATGGATCGCTTAATTTATATTATAAGAAGAAAGCATTGGAATGTAACTATTGGATCTGTCCAGTTCGGACGGGTTAGGAATATAGTAGTGCATACATCTAACTTGGTATACTTTATGCATTTTCATTTCTAGAAAATCTCGGTCGCACGTGCTTGTTGTTCTCTGGGTACAATAAGCGTATGTTATTATGCGTATCGGCTTATTATTTACCGATTTCGGTTTATTACCGATACACATAATAACATCCGCACAGTGTACTTGGAGAACAGCGGATAGGTGCTGCCAAAATTTTCTAGAAATGAAAATGCACAAAGTATTCAAAGTTAGATGTAAGCACTACTATATTCTTAATGTGATAGAAGCCTTCCTATGACAGCCGAGAGTATTGTTTCAAATCAGGATTACTTATCATTGAGTGTTAACTTTTACTTGGTACGACAATGAAAATTATAGAATAGTAATTTAATTTGATTGATTATTTGTTCAAATGAACTAAAATAAAGACTATTAAACTTAAGGCGATCTATGAAATATTGAATTAATTAATTAGTTTACCTATTATACAGATGAGAGAAGTTCCTGATAAGTCATGGATTGATATTCCTATATTTCAAAGAAGAGCGAAAGGTGATACTCGATATCAAGACGGATGGGAAGCATTCCTTGAGTATGCATATGCTAATCCGAGGAAGGTAGATAATGATTTGTTGTGTTGTCCATGTAGTAAGTGCAGGAATAGGGGTCTGGTGGATAGAGTTGCTATACGAAGACACTTAGAAAGATGGGGATTTGATGAAAATTATAAATATTGGAGTTTTCACGGAGAACGTGAAGATATTGAACTAGATGATACTAATATAGAAGATACGCAAGCAATGTTAAACGATATTCCAGTAGTTGCAGAAGTTAATGAAGTTCAAGAAGTACCGGAGGCTGTTGAAGTTCCTGGAGATGCAGATGATGTCCAAAATACCGAAGATGTGCGTGACACCCGGGCCTACAAAGACTTAATGAAGTTATTGGAAGATGACGATAAGGATCTGTATGATGGTTGCACTGAGCATAGTAGATTGTCATTTATTCTTCAACTGATGCGTACTAAGACCCTGAGCGGAATGGCAGATAAATATTTTCAGATGCTTCTTAATTTACTACGCAAGGTAATTCCAGACGGAGAGAATAGCATTCCAGAAAAGTGTTATGATGCAAATAAGATTATTGATGCTTTGGGTTTAGATTACAATAAGATCGATGCTTGTCCTAATGATTGTGTCCTTTATTATAAGGATAACGAGAAACTTGAGGAATGTCCAAAGTGTGGAGTGTCTCGATGGAGAAAGAATACACGCACTTCAACCAGAAAGTCGAACGAGTCAGTGAATCAACAGAAAAAAATTCCAGCGAAGGTGCTCCGACATTTTCCCTTAGTGCCTCGGTTGCAACGGCTGTATATGACAAAAAAAGATAGCTAAAGATATGCGGTGGCATAAAGAAGGACGTGTAGATGATGGTAAACTGAGACATCCAGCAGATGCAAAGGCATGGAAGCATGTAGATCAAACTTTTCCCTCATTTTCTGCAGAGTGTAGGAATGTCAGACTTGGTCTTTCTAGCGACGGATTCAACCCGTTTGGCATTATGAGTTCGGGATGGTCTACTTGGCCAGTTGTGTTAATGCCTTATAATTTGCCACCTGGTCTTTGTATGAAGCAATCATATATGATTCTTTCATTATTGATACCAGGCAAACATTCACCCGGTAATGACATAGATGTGTTCATGGAGCCGTTAATTGATGAGTTAAAACAACTCTGGGATGAAGGGGTCCCAACATATGATGCTCTTTCTTGTGAGTCTTTTAATCTCCGTGCTATTCTTATGTGGACGATTAATGATTTTCCAGCTTATGGTAATCTATCTGGTTGGTCTACGAAAGGGACATTCGCTTGTCCTGTATGTGGTCCGAACTTCGAAGGCTTTTATTTACAACACAGTCGAAAAATGTGTTATTGGTTTAACAGAAGATGGTTACGAAAAGGGCATAAATTTAGGGGGGGAAAATGGGCAAATAAGTTTGATGGCCAAGAAGAGAAAAGAGGGGAGCCTCGTGAAATGTCTGGAGATGAGATTGTAAACTTGTTTGAGGGATATCCTAAATTCAATTTTGGAAAGAGCCGATTTACAAAAGATGAAATTCTTGCTCCGAGACACACTTCCATCATGAAGAGGGCACCCAAACGAAAGAGGCAAGTGCGGGGTTTAGATGTCACACATGCTCAGGATTTGCCGACAGGATGGACAAAATTTAGTATATTCTTTCAGTTGCCTTACTGGCATAAACTCAAACTCCGACATAATTTAGATGTAATGCATATTGAAAAGAATATATGTGATAACTTATTATCCACACTCCTTCAAGATGGTAAGAAATCAAAGGACGATTTAAGGGCTCGGCAAGATTTGAATGCATTGAACATCCGACATGATCTGCAAGCACAAGAAGTAGCCAATGGAAAATTTGATTTGCCTTCAGCTCGTATTACAATGTCAAAAGCTGAGATGCAGAGATTCTGTGAGGTTCTTAAGTTGGTGAAGTCACCAGATGGTTATTGCTCTAATATTTCAAATAATGTACAGGTGAAAGAGCGAAAACTTTTAGGACTTAAGACACATGATTATCATATCCTTCTTCACCAATTGCTTCCGGTAGAACTTCGTAACAACATGGCCGATGAAGAAGCAACAAAAGTTGTAATTGAATTCTGTGGATTTTTTAAAATGTTATGCTCCAAAGTGATCAATATTGATGAATTTAAGGCACTAAAAACAGAAATGAATGAAACCCTCTGCAAAATGGAGATATTCTTCCCTCCATCATTTTTTACGATCATGGTCCATCTCACGCATCATCTTGTAGATGAGGCATTACTCGGAGGACCAGTTAATTATCGTTAGATGTATCCTATAGAGAGGTTAGTTAAAATTCAATTAAGTCTATTTACATATCATGTCATTGCTTTAAATTAACAACTCATAGTAATGTTATTTTTAGATATTTGGGTTTCTTGAAACGCATAATGCGAAATTGGGCTCATCCTGAAGGTTCGATTGCTGATCATTACGTGGCAAATGAATGTATGATGTTTACCTCTCGGTGTATACAAGGTGTACATACAACAAATAATTCTCTAAATAGTAATAGAGATGGCACCTTTCATGGAAGTACCAAGATGAACAAAGACTATTCCAGAATAGACTTGAATCAGGCTCATGCCTTCTTATTGTAGAACCTAGAAATTTTTGAAGATTACCGCAAGTAAGAAATTAACTTTATTAAATATGAATTTTTTTGAATTATTCAAATAGTTGAACTCTAATTTTTGTATCAATAGACGACATGTGGAGGAGTTGCATTTAGAAATAACTGGTGCGTCAGCACGAAATCAAATTGCAAAAATTCATGAAAAACATTTTGTCGAGTCGGTCATAGCTGAAGTAAGTTAAGTGGATTTTATTTTTAATTAATTTTGGGAATAAATAAGGCTAACTATTTAACGCTAATTTGTGTTTATATGCAACATTAGGTAGAAAGACAAAGATTTGCAGGTTTGCCAGTGCCAGAAGAGATAAGTATTCACTCACATGGACCGCACTATACAGTTAAACAATGCAGCGGATACCGTGTAAATGGATGTTTATTCCAACTGGTCGAGCTTGAGAAGGAGAGAGTTACCCAAAATAGTGGGGTTATGGCTGTATTCTCTCAAGAATGTTATTCAAGCTCAACTGATCAAAATCCGGTACTTGGTGATGTAGTTTATTACGGACAATTAGAAGATATTGTGGAGATATTCTATGCGTACGGTACCAAAAATGTACGTAGTTATGTGATGTTTAAGGTCCGTTGGTGTCGTGCAGACAGAACTAGGGATGCATATGGTTTTCATCTTGTAAATTTAGATAAGGAGATATATCCCGACATGAAGTTTATGTTCGCAAATTAGGCTACTCAGTGCTTTTACGTCAAAGATCCTAGGGTGCAGAATGTCTGGGTCATATTGTATAAGGAGCCGAGGACTCTTGTTCAGCTTGCTCTTGATGAAAATCCGGACAGTTCCGATGACCCTAATGAGACAGAAGGAGAAATTTTTATTAATTACTCATACCCCCAAAATGTCAATTTTAATATGTATACCTCGTAAATTCGACTTGATATCTGTAATGTAGGAGATTGAATACTAAGATCCATATGCAAATTCGATTTGATATTTGTAATGTAGGAGTTTGAATACAAAGATCCTTATGCAAATTCGACTTTATATCTTGCATGTATTTATTAAATATTTAAGTTGCAGATGAGCCAAAGAATTAGGAGGCTATCTTTTCCTCGGGATCAAGAAGGTCCATCATCCGGTATAAGTATTCAAATTTTGTTGAAGTAAATAGTATTAGTGATATAAATATGCATTATATTTACTATTTTTTTATTTATCTAGGATCATCATCAAGACCATCTCCGAGTCCATTATCTCTACATGGATCCTCACCCATTGAAGGTATAAATTTATTTATTTGTATTATGTCAATTGATAAATTTATATGCTCATATAATATATATTTCTTTGTTAGATATTGCGGGGACTTCTCAAATGGATCCACCACAGCATCGAGACGCATCGCCAGATCTAGGTATTATTTTTATATTTTTATTATTTCTTTCATTATATTCTTAATTTACATTTGTAATGTAATGATATTTAATATTCCTAATATATGTTTGCAGACAATGCTCGTGATGGATTTGGTGATGACGAGATTGAGCACGAGATGATGTCTGGATCTTCTCAGTCAGAGAGAGCATGTCTCCGCCCTTGGACTCCATCAGTATATCACATCTCTCTGCCTGAAAAAGCTATTGCATTACAAAAAAAAATGCGATAGGAACTTCAAAATTAGGAGAGATTATATTAAAAGAAAGGAACGTGCCATAAAACAAAGACTAGATAAAGCTATGGCTGATCTACTGAGGGAAAGGGGTAATAATTTCGTATAAACTTTGGAGATTGCTTACTTATTTATTTATGTAAGTTTATAAGAAATTTATTTCTCTTTGTATTTGTAGGCAAAAAAGATTATGAGAAACCCGGTAGACATGGGAGTGAGGAAAAGACGAAAGTACCTCCGAAAGGGTACCGGGCCATTTTGGAGTGGAAGGGCAACATTCCTGTTGGGGATTGGGCCGTCAGATTTAATAACCTGATAGGCTGTTTAATAAGAGATCCATGCTCAATTAACATTGCTCATAACTTTGAGGAGCAAGAATTTAAAGGCATAAAGGAGATTTTGGTGAAGCTCATGGTAATTATTTATTATACTGCTTATTTTGTTTACAATTCACAATGATTATTCTTATAGTGTAATTTTTTTGCCATGTAACTTGCAGGATTATTATTGTCTTGAGGACAACCCAGAGTCTTGGAATTATGTTATCCCTAAAATGGCCAAGCTTATTCGGGGTTGGAAGAGTGCTCTAAAAAAAAGATATTTTACAAAAATATCTACTGATTGGAAGAGGATCTATGAGCTTGATAAGAGAGTTTATCCATTTAATTGGATGACTCTCATTATCGAGTGGGAGGGTGAGAAGAAGGTGGATTATTTTTAATTTAAGATATTATCATGACATTATTTTTTTATTTATATATAATCATCGCACATACTAATAAAGTACTTTATTTTGTAGAAAATATGTGAGACAGCATCGGTGAATCGCAAAATGAAGATATACGATCACTTCTTAGGATCTACTCCTTATGCTCGGATCGAGCATAAATATTTGAGTGAAAACCCGGTATGATCATATTATTAAAACTCTACTCCTTATGCTCGGATCGAGCATAAATATTTGAGTGAAAACCCGGTATGATCATATTATTAAAACTGATATCATGTGATTAGTTTTATATATTTACTTTGAAATTTAATATATCACAGGACACTTTGACTATGCCCCCAGCTCTTCTTGCTAAGAGAGCTTATACACCGCCCCAGGGCTATGAAAATGTAGAGGGAAATGACAAAAAAGTGGAGAAAATTAATGAATTGGTCGTAAGTATAAGATTAATTTTAGATTTGTATATACTTAATGATTTCTCATCAAAGTTTCTAACTTTTATGATATATGATATACAGGCGGCGGTGGAAGCTTCTCAAAACGAGGTCTTGACCCGTGTCAGTCAGTCTCAGGGTACAGAGGACACTCCTATAGAGCCTAACCGCATGACCAGAGACGAGTGGATGGAAGTCGTCGACGGAGCTTACGGTTTACAACCAAGAAAGAAAGGAAGAGTTCCTTTGTCAAGTATTGTAGCTAAGAAATTCACCACCACCAATAAGCCTAGCAGCCAATCTGTGATCTCGACGCGACCATGTGGCACATCATACATCGTGGATAAGATTGGTCAATACTTGT